AAATGAAACTGGTTTAGTGAGTCACTTCTAATGTCACATTTGCATAATAATCACTTAATCACTGTAAAGTTCATTCCTGAAGAGGAAAAAAATTTCTTGATGGCCCAGTCCTGCAGAGTACAAAGTATTTGGGTGGAGTTCTAGACAAATGGATCTGTATATTCTAGATAAGAATCAAAAAAGATTTCCATAGGCCTAAGGATGGACCAGGTTTGGGGGTTTTTTTGGGGGAGGGTTGGTGAGGAAGAGGGAAGCAGTAGAGGCAGTTTGTCTGTATCAGTCATTTTAATCTACTCAGAAAACCAGCATGGAAACTTCCTCTGTGGAAGCTCCCTCTAGTGGTAGAAATAAAGAACTGGCTGTAATATTTAATATTAAAGGGTTGCCTGGATTTACTAGTAGATTAAATGACTTCCCAGTGGTCACAGGGCTACTGTGTGATAGAAGGACTTGAACCCTTCTTACTCAAAGACAAACCTTTATTTCATACTGTCTTCTCTGAATCTAATAAGGTAAAATAATAGGGACAAACATAAAGTGCAATACTTAGGCTCAAAAAAATCAGCTGCATAAATGCTGGATGGGCAAGGCATGGTTAGATAGCAGTTCCAGTGAAGAAGATTTGTGGAATCTTAATGGACCAAAAGTCCAATGATTCAAGCATTGACTGAGTCAAAAGTGTGGTTTGTCAGACAATAAGGCTACTGCAATCTTATGTTGTATGAAGAAGGACGTTGATATGATAATCCCACTGTTCTCTACCTTGATTAGATGACATCTAAATCATTATTTGGTTAAAAGCAAAGTATTTTAAGAATAATGAATAGCATTTGTTTGAATTGGTTTAAATCAAAATGGACCCATGCTCTGGAATTCTCCAGTAGGAGAGGCTGATATGGGGCCTCAGGATCATATTATACAAAGATCATTTAAAGAACGAGGGATATTTAGTTCCTATGGAATAATTACCTTCCTATACATTGATAATTCTCATAAATGCTTTTCCAGCCATAATCTCTCTGTTGACCTTTAGTGTCACATGTCCCACTGCCCTTCAGACATCTTGAACTGAATGTCTAGTAGACACCTTAAACTCAACATTTCTGAAATTGAAGTCATGTTTGCCCCTAAAACTTCCCCCTTTCCAAACTTCTTTATGACTGTCAACAGCACCACCATCATCCCAATCCATTAGGCGTTATTCCCTCCTCCTCACTATTTCTCACTCCCTATATCCAATCTGTTGCTAAAAGCTGTCAACTTCACCTTTAATATGTCTCTCAAGGATGGTTCTTTTGCTCCTCTGATATTGCCACCACTTTTGTGAAAGCCTTCATCTCTTCACACCTGGATTATGACAATAGCTTGCTAGTTCTTCTGTCTACCAAGTCTTTCCTCACCCCAGTCTATTCTCCAGTCAGCTGCTAAAGTGGTTTACCTAAAGCACCCGTCCAACTATGTCATCCCCACACCCAATAAACTTGACTAGCTCCCTATCACCTCCAGAATCAAATACAAAATCCTCTGTTTGGCCTTAAAAGACCTTCATAACCTACTTCCTCACCCTTTCCAGTCTTCTTAAACTTTATTCACTGTACTCTTCAATCCAGTGACACTGGCCTCCTTATATCTTTTTCCTTGTTCAAAATCTACAATTTCTATTATGAATTGACACAGTGGAAGTTGAACTAAGACCATGTAACAGCTGACCCTCAAACAAAATTGGTCCTGTCAGCCCTAAGCTAATAAGAATCTCAGAGCTACAAGGAATCTCATAGACAAATTAGTCCTGCTCCTCCCTGCATAAGAATCCTTTCTGTATCATTCTGGGGATGTGATATTCCAGCTCCCTTCCAAGGTCCACCCAATATTCTGGAGGCGTCCCTCTGGTTCTTTAAGTATCTCAGAGACATAAGAGTAACCATCATTCTATTGTCACTCACTTTTACTCCAAAGACAGTCCATATACTTGTCCCCATCTACTTTTCTGGTCAGATAGATTGGGAATGATATATTTTATACCACTCTTAGAAAGATCTTGGGCAGCTAGGTAGTACAGTGGATAGAGTACAAGGTCTGGAGTCAGGAAGACTCATCTCCCTGAGTTCAAATCTAGCCTCAAATATTTACTACCTGTGTGACCCTGGGCAAGTCACTTCATGCTGTTTGCCTCAGTTACCTTTTTGTCTCTGTCTTGGTACGTCTGTGTCTTTTTCTGTCTCTCTGTCTCTCTCTCACTCTTTCTCTCCTTCCCCCCCCCTCTAATGCTTCTGGTCAATGGCTTTTGTTTTTTCTCCTAGAGCCTCACTCCAAGCTCTTAGGCCAAACTAGATCTTTCTTATCCCTCAGTTTCATTGGCTGCTCACTCCAGAGGCCTATTGTCAGTGCCTAGAAAACCAGCAGTTTCAATCCCTTGGATCACCTGGGAAGGCTGTGTGGAATTGGTGCCTCTGCCATTTCAGAGCTTCCAGAAGACAAAATAAAGTCCAAGAGCTCAGAGACTTGTGTTGTTTCAGTGTCATGACATTTCTATCAGGATGCTGGTGTCCTCAGTATGAGAATGTCATCACTGAACCACACTAAGAACTGTGTCTAGGGAAGGGGATAGGTCTCAGTAACTAGATTTCTTGACAATAGACAATAGAAAGCCCAGGCCATTTTGGCTCTAACTTGTGCTACTGGAAATCATTCTAAAATGTCTGAGCATACTTTCCTGTCTACATCTGATACCATGTAGAAACCTCAGATTTTCTTCATTTTTAAACTTAGTATCTTATTTAATAGCTTATATCTAAGGTCTGAACAGCTGGATGGCTCTGTCTAGAGCTCTGGGTCAGGAAGACCTGAGTTCAAATTTGGCATTAGACACTTACCAGTTATGTGACCATGGGCAAGTCACTTAATCCCGTTTGCCTCAGTTTCCTCATCTATAAAATGAGCTGGAGAAGGAAATGGCAAACCAGTCCAGTATCTTTGCCAAGAAAACCTCAGATAGGGCCATGAGGAGTCAGACATGACTGAAAACAACTAAACAACACAGCAATCCGAGGTCTGGGTTTGATGTATTTTTCTAGCTTTAAGTTTTTATAATCTAAATTCTAGTATTCTCTTTCGAAATCCCTTCCGGCATTTGTAGCACCCCCTTCAGGGCTACCTCTTAAACTGAACTCATTTTAACAGATCAGCTAACTAATCTCAGGATTCTAGGGGCAATCATAAAGGAGATTCTAGGGTTTCCAGTACTGTTGCTTAGGACTCCATAATTGTGCTCCCCATTGATTATCAGCCGGAGATAGTTGGTAAGTATTTGGTATTTTGACAAGTGGGTATAGCAAAGACAATTGTTAGAGAAATGTCTTCTTAATTAAGGGCACATTTTTCCCTTGAACCAATAAGCTCCTGGAGAGAGTGGGTCCAGACTTAAAGATAATATATGTCCAAAGACTAAATTCAAAGCTGCTGATTGCTGGCAGTTTTTTTCTCCTTTAGTGGAGTTCTCACGAAATCCCCTTAGCATTACGCCTCTATTGGCCTTCAAGGATCAGTGCCTTTCTAAAATCTTGAAGCTACTTTTGCTCAGTTTGCCTAATTTATCCTCAGAGGATCCCTTATCTTCAGATGCAGATGCTCTCACAAGCCATTATTGCTCCAGGGTCACTGCTACTGGATTTAGTAAACATAAGATTTTCCTCACCTTATCAATGGTGAGGAAGGGGAGCTCCTCCTCTCCCTTCCACCTAAAGCCAACTCTGTCTCAAGAGTCCTTTCCTGCTCAAGTAAACAGCTACTCAGCTGACCTGGTAGTGAAATGCATGATTTAGAGCTGCCTTACTACTTTATACAGAGAACCAAAAATGTTTCTGATTTTTTCTTCCAGTTACAAGATATTTTTTGCATGCCATCATTGTTTTCATCCAAAGACCTAAAGCCTTTTAATCCTTTCAAATTGATGAAGAATGGTCTTAGAATGAGAATTTGGGCCTTTTGTGATTGATTAGATGGTAAGACAAACCTCACCCTTAAACTGTGGTCTATGATCTAAGAGCTTATGTTATTAGGCTAGTTCCAGGTCTAACATTTCATGGCATTTGTTTAAAGGCCCCTTACTGTTCAGGCACTGTATAATTGTTTTTGTTTGTCCTTCATTTTCAAAGAGGACCAATGACATTATGAAGTGATGTACTAACTCATGTGTGAATTCAAGTGAGCAGAGTTGCACGGTCATCAGCCTCACTCTCTCTTCCAGAGTCATTGAAGTCCAGAGGCAAGACAAAAGTCATGATGACTGGCGATGGCCTGGGTTGCAGTGGATGACCTTGATGTCTTTGATGTCTAGCCAAGTTCTGAGCACTCCACAGTGCCTGCTTCAGCCCACCCTCATGGTCCCTGGAACAAATTGTTCTCATCTGCCCATTCCATCAGGAGAAGCTTTCACATGTTTGGGGTAGCCATCCTCCTGACTCACAGACAGATTTGAGACCTATTGGCTACCCTCAACCAGGTTTAACCTGCCAAGACTGTTTTACCAGGGCACAGCCACTGTGCACACTATAGCTTCTTGGAGCCACAGGTAAGAGTTGGGTGGCATATGGACACCAAAAGTGGAATGAGCAGTCCTGAAAAGGGCTCAGCAAACCCTCACACCGGGGGTGCTAGTTCTCCCTCTACACCCCAAGGCACTATATACTATGTCTTTGAAGGTGCCTCTCAACTTTACTATTCTACATTCTAAGATGTCTTCTAGATCTTTCATTCTGTGTTCCAAGGGCTCTTCTAGCTCTCCCATCCAATGTTCTAAGGTCTCTCTGTGGTCTGCCATTCCATGTTCTATGTTAAAATTCCATTTCTAGATCTAACATTTTATGAGCTATATTCTATGGTCCCTTCCAACTAAAACATTCTGTGACTCTGATAAATAATTCCCTTCTAGATATGAGAGCAGCCCTTCCCTTAACCATTCTCCTCTCATTCCCCAGAAATGTAAGACAGGACAAGGAAAAAACTGTCTATGTGCTTTATTGATACAATTCAGGATGCCTGGAGTCAGGCATTAAAACATTAAAATGATAAGAGGAAGATAAGGGAGGTCCTGAAGCATGCAGCTACTTATATTGTCCATCATCCTGAAATCACACCAGGTGGGACAAAGCCTCCTGAAAGGTAGAAGAGTAATCATGATGAAACAAATTGCCTGAGATAATATTTAGGAGGAGGACATATGGGACTGGGGTGAGTGGTCAGAGAATTATTTCCCCCTCAGGGCTTAGAAGCTGGTATGGATTCAGTGCTACTCTGGTGGAAGTACTAAAAGCAATAGCTAGTATTTAATATTATTTTTAACAATAATAATAATAATTAGCATGTATATAATGCCTTAAAGTTTACAAAATACATTATGTGTTGTCTCATTTGATCCTTGTGACAATTCTGTGAGGTAGGTACTATTTTCATCTCCTTTTTACAGATGAGGGAACTGAGGCCAAGAGAGGTCAGGTGATTTGTGCAAGGTCACACAGCTAGTAAGTGATTAAGGCAGAATTCACACTCAGCTCTTTCCCATCTCCAAGTCTAGCCCTCAATCCATGGTGCAACCTAGCTGCCAAATAAATCCTCCTATTTCAAAGTACTTTCCCTTCCATCCCTTCATGAGATCTTCCCAACAGCACTCTGAGGGAGACAGGACACTGATGGCTAGCCCCATCATAATGAGAAAATAACAGATTGAGAGATAGGAAATTTATCATTGCAACTAATTAGTGACAGAGCCTGGACTCAAACCCAGGTCATTTGTTGACTTTTACCTTATGACTATCTCCACTCAACCATTCTTAGTCTTGATGGAATCACTTTGTTGCTGAGATTTATATTCTGACAGCTAGATTCTGGCATTGGGTATCATACATAATATGCACTTAAGAAAGGTTTCTTTAGGTAACAGCTTTAACTGAGCTTAAGTTGTCTTAGATGGAACCTTCAAGGAAGGGGGAAAGGTCCAGAAACCCAGGAGTAAGGGAATGTTAGCAAACCCAACTTTTCGTACATTGGGCAAACCTCCACTATACTATATGGAGTGTTTTTAAGTCTCAGAGAAGTGACTAATAGATCAAAGTTCTGCCTCAAGGGCCCTGCTGCTGTGTTAAAAATTACATAGTAACAATATACATCTATATGCATACTATATAATACACTAAAATAAGTGTTAAATTATTATGTAATAATTTGGAGTAATTAATAATGAATTAAAGAATTAATAATTGGATGGTGGCTACATGTTGTCTTAAAATCACAATCATGTAAATGTACAGTAACTCTACAATAATGGTGCAAGGACCTTATATAAATTAATTGTATAATAACTATACAATCAATATATATTACTGGACAGTGACTATTAATACCTGTATAATAAGTTTGCAATGGCTACAAAGAGACTTCTGTCAACTATACAACTGTTGTATAATGGGTGTATAATAACTATACAATTATTATGTAATAATGACTATACAATGTATAGTCACTGAACAATTCTGTCATTGCTACATGTGCAATTATAAAATTGTGATATAGTGACTGTGTAATGACTGTATGATAACTGTGCAATGACTGTCCAAAGGCTGTAGAGTAACACTGTGTGATGACTCTGTAACTGCTACATAGTGATTGTGCAATAATTTCATATCTGTATAACCCTCTGACAACTGGACAATGACTTTCCAACAGTGGTTCAGAAGCTGTGTAATAAGGTTGTTCAACTGCTGTGTAAATTCAACAATTACTATGCAAAGACTATACAATGACAGAGTTAGTTATGTTAGAAGATAGCAACTATATAACCATCCTGCACAATGATTGTATAGGAATTGTATAATGATTGTCCAAAGGATGTTAGAGTTACACTGCAATGGCTCTATAACTGCTCTAAAGTGACTAGGTGATGCCTGTACACACACCAATGGTGCCATACTTACAAAGTGACTATACAGTAACCCAGTGATGCCTAAACAGTGAGTATAGTACAGAGAAGAGTAGATTGGCAAGACAGCCAAAAGGGGCATTTACCAGAAGTTTTTTCACAGCTTCGGAAGCCTGAGGCCCCAGGTCATCCACACATTTCTTCAGCCCTTCAACCAAGTGCTCCACAGAGATGCCCAGTGTTTTCAAGACCATTTTCAGTGGGTCAATAATGGAGAGGATCATGTCCAGGGGCATGAAATTGTTGATGGGAAGAGACCCACTGTTGATGAAAAAAGCAGTAGCTGGAGAAAAAAAAAGGTAGGGATCACAGAGCATTTGAGTTTCCAGGCAAAAATTCCCAAGTATGACCCATCTCTAGATAGCAAAATACAAATGTCTCTAAGCAGCCCTGATTCCCTCACCATCACCATCAATGTGCAGGTCATGGGTTTGTCAGGTGGGATTTTTCCCTCCTGGAAAGAAAAACATCCAGATGCTGATATTAAAGAGTTTAACAGTGAAATTAAAAATCAGAAATAGGAACAAAGACAATTTAAGATCATAGAACTTAGAGCTAGCAAGAAGCATACAGATCATCTAATCCGGATCCCTCATTTGACAGGTGAGAGAAACTCAGAGAGTTTAAGACACAACCCAAAGGTAAAACAGGTAGCAAGTAGCAGAGGTAGGATTCAAACCCAGATCCTCTGATCCCAAATCTCGTACTCTTTGTACCAGGTCATACTGTGGATCTTCATGCTCAGTTCACTAGATAGGACCTTCAGGTTGCTTCCAATAAAAGAGGCCCATCTGTCTTACCTGCTCATCTATCTGCTTTACAAGTACAATCCTTATAATTGTTCTTGTACTATAAGGTAGTCATAGATAGCACAGAGGACAGAGTTCTGGACATCTAAAGTGAGGAAGACCTTTCTTAGACATTCACTAGCACCATGACCCTGGACAAGGGTCTCTCAACCTCAATGCCTTATCTATAAAATGGGGAAAATAATAACAACTAGGTCACAGGGCTATTATGAGAATTAAATGACGTAACACATATACAAAGTATTTCACAACCTTTAGAATGCCAAAGAAATGCAATTATTACTCTGTCCAGTTTCGTTTATACTGTTATTATTACTGTTGTCATTTAAAGAGCATTAAACTTGACATCCAAAGATTTGGGTTTGTGCTTTTATTTCAATACCTTCAGGTCATGTGACCAAGGACAAGTCACTTAACCCCTCTGAGCCTCAGTTTCCTCATCAATATGGTGGGACTACCAATCCTCATGCTACCTCCCTCACACAGTAATTGTGAGAACAGCATTTTGTAAAACTTGAACTATTATATAGAACTGTTATTTCATTATTAGTAGTAACAATACTTCCCTTGTACATAGCTTTGGATTCCAAAGATCTGAACTTGAGTCTCAGCTCTGACACTTGGAGGCAGTGCTTACCATACAGTAAAAACAGTCCTGAATTTGGAGATGGAGAAACTGGGCTTAAATCCCAGCTCTGCCAAACCCAGTCCTAACTGTATGACTGTGTACAGGTCACTCACATTCTTGTTCCTCAGCTGTCACCTCTGAAAAATAGAATGGCACTGGATAGCCTCTAAGGCCTGTTCAAGATTGAAATGTGTGATTCTTTGCAATGTTATATCAGTGTCTTTGCCTCTCAAAGACAGTTTTTCCATTTGTAAAATGAGAATAATAGTACTTTCTTGACCTACCTTCCATATAGGGATGTTTTAAAGATGAAATCAGATAAAGTATGTAAAAAGCTTTGGAAACCACAGTGCATCGAGAACCATTCCTGTCATATTAATTTTATTTCACATTAATTAATTTCATTTTAATTATTTCATACTAATTAATTAATCACACTCTGTCTATAAAATGGGGTAGCTAAGTGGCACAGTGGATAGAGTGCTGAGCCTGGAGTCAAGAAGACCTGAGATCAAATCTGGCTTCAGACACTAGCTGTGTGACCCTGGACAAGTCACTTAATCCTGTTCATCTCAATTTCCTCTTCTGTAAAATGAGCTAGAGAAGGAAATGGCAAGCCAATCCAGTATTTCTACCAATATAACCCAAAAAAAAGGGGCTCACTAAGAGTCAGATCCAACTGAAAACAATTAAATAACAATAATTCTATAAAATATTCCTGTAATATTGGACAGGTTGATGTTATTGTCCATAAAGGATGAAGAAATTGAAGCAGCATGGTACAGGGGAATGAACATTGCTTTAGGACTCAAAGGTCTTCAGTTCCAATCCTGGCTCTGCTATTGTGTGCATGACTTTGTCCAAGGCACATCTCTTCATTTCATTCCCTTATATGTAAAATGAGAGTGTTGTACTCAATGACCTCTCCATTTCCTTCCAACTCCATGTATTATCCTAAGATGCCACCAATTTGGTGTCAGGCCCAGGACTAGGCCCTGAGTCTCCAGAACCCCCATGTATTATTATTTCTACTACTTTTTGCTGCTCCTGTTTCTCAATCCACAGGTTGCTAAAGGTAGAAGGACTCTCTGAGCTCATCTCATCCCAAACCCTCATTTGACAGAAAAGGATACAGGGCCAGAGACTTGCCAAAGGTTATCCAATGAGTTAGTGGCAGCAGTGGGACCCAAAGCAAGGTCTCCTGAATTCCTGTCCAGGCCCATTCAGTCACACTACAGCTACTTTTCAGTCCCCCAAAAGTTTTAGGAATTGCCTCTGTTCACACAACTTACCAGAGTAACTGCAGACAGCAAAAGTTACAAACAGAAAGACATGTCCCAGCTTCATGACTGGTATCTCTGGCAGAAACTTCTCAGATTCTTGAAGTCTGAAAGGAAATCCCAATAGACTCACAATTGAACTTAGCCAGCCTGTGGTGCTGAGTGAACAACAAACACACACGTATATATACTCATGGATTCTCCATTCAGCAACCCCAAGCCCCCTTGACCTTTCAGGAATAATACATAGGTCATGTTTCTCTAGCAAACAGACTAAGGCTCCTTCCTCCTTCCGTCACGTTCCCATGGGAATGAAAATTTTCCTTGTTGATTCTGCTGTACAGGGGCCTCCTCTGGGGAACTAGACGTGGGCCCCCAAACATATTCCTACAGATGCAATTTTAGCAACAGCTGCTATTGTTCCACTAAAGGTCATCTTCCCCCAAAGTGTGGTACACTTTTGAAAGAGCATCCGTTTGGGCCAGTAGCCCAAGGCTTGATTATCAGCTCAGCCACTGTGTGACCTTGAATAATGTATTGTCAGTAAACATTTATTCAGCTTCTACTGTGTCCTAGGCACTGTGCTAGATGCTAGAGATATAAATGTTATGAATGAAATAATCCCACTTCCAAAGATTTTATTTTAATGGGAGAGACAAGTATGTACATAAATGTATATAGTATAAATATAAAGATTATCAAGACAAATCTATACCAAGTAGTTAGATATAAAGTAGCTTGGGAGGGAGGGCACTAGTAGTTGGGGGATAAAGGAAGACTTTATGCAGAAAAAAAATGGTGCTTGAGCTGCGTTTTGAAGGAAGAGAGGTATTCTGAGGATGAGGTGAGGAAAGCATGAATTCTGGCTATGGGGGACGACCAGTACAAAGGCATAGAGATAAAATGTCCTGTGGAAGAAACAGACAGCAGACCAGTCTGGATAGAATAGAAAGTTTGGGAGGGTGAATAATGTCCAATGATGCTGAAAAGGTAGGTGGAGGCCAGGTTTTGAAAGGCTTTAAAAACTAAATACAGGAGCTTAAATTTTATCCTAGAGGCAATAGGAAGCCCCTGAAATTGTTTGGAAAGAGGAATGACCTGGTCAGATCTGTGATTAACAACGATAATAACAATAACAATAACAATAATAATAATAATAATAATAATAATAATAAAAATGCTAGCATTTGTATAGAATTGTAAGGTTCACAAAGCATTTTACAAATACTATCTCATTTTATCCTCACAACAACCCTGGGAGGTTTATTATTATTATTATTATTATAATTATTATTATTATTATTATTATTATTATTATTATTATTATTATTGTTGTTGTTGTTGTTGTTGTTCATACGAGAAAAATGAGGCAGATGGCAGTGAAATGAATTCCCAGGGTTACATAGCTTGTAAATGTCTGGGACAGGATTTGAACTCAGACTTTCCAGACTTGAGGTCCAGCACTTGAGTTATCCACTACACTAACCACCTACCTATTGATCTGATTATAAAGAAAATCATGTTGGCAAGAGTGTATAGAATGGATAGTGGAGATCTGACTCAGGGAAACCAATTGCAAGGCTGTTGTAATAATTTAAGTGACAGCCAATTAGGGCCTGAACTAGAATGGTAGCCATGTGAGTAGAGAGAAAGAGATAGATAGGAGAGACATTTTCAAAATGGAAAAGCCAAGATTTGTTAATTGATTGGATATTTGGGGCGAGGAAAAGTAAGGAGTCAAGGGGATGCTGAGGTTATGAATTTGAAAGATTGAAAGGGGGTGGTACCTTTGATAGAAATAGGGAAATTTGGAAGAGGGAAGGATTAACTCATTTAACCTGCTCAGATCTGTTACCTCACATGTAAAAGGTTAGGCAATATGACTAACAAGGTCCATTCCATCTCTAAACCCATGATCCTAAGTTTTGTCTTAGAACCTTAGAATGTCAGAGGTAGCAGAATCTCACAACTGGAAATATCTCTTCACTGAGTAGGAATTCCATCTAAGAACCTAATAATGATTATTATAGCTCACATTTATATAGTTACACTTACTAGCTGCATAATCCTGGACAAGTCATTTTATCTCTCTCAGCCACATTTTCCTCATATATACAATAGGAGTAACAATACTGTTATTGTTGTTGTAAGAATAAAATGAGATAATATTTATAAAGAGTTTTGTGAACCTTAAAGTGCTATATAAATACTAGCCATTCTTTTGCCAAATGCTTTATGCATACCATTTTACATAATAATCACAGCAGTCTTATGAAGTAGGCATTATTATTATTATTATTATGCGTATTTTACAGATGAGGAAACTGAGACCTGGGGAACTTATATGATGTACAAAAGAAGTAAATATCACAAGTAGGATGATACTCACTACGTATGTGACCAGAGGTAGCTCGTCATAGTAGATGGAGAGCTGGCCTTAAAGCCAAGAAGACTTGATTTCAAATTCTGCTTCTAAATTTGGAACTATGTCTAAAGGGTTATAAAACTGTGCATACCCTTTGATCCAGCCATACCACTTTTAGCAATGTATCCCAAAGAGATCATAAAAAAGGGAAAAGGGCCCACATGTACAAAAATATTTATAGCAGCTCTTTTTGTGGTGGCAAAAAAATTGGAAGTTGAGGGGACGTCCATCAATTGGGGAATAGCTGGACAAGTTATAGTACATAAATGTAATGGAATACTATTGTGCTGTAAGAAATGATGAGCAGGAAGATTTCAGAAAAACCTGGAAAGACTTACATTAACTGAAGCTGAGTGAAGTGAGTAGAATAAGTAACAGCCACTTTGTGCAATGACAAAAGACAATTCCGAAAGACTCATTGTGGAAAATGTTATCCACATCCAGAGGAAGAAATATAGCAGACCAAAGCATAATGTTTTCTCTTCTTTGTTTATTTTTTTTCTTTCTTATGGTTTCTCCCTTTTGTTCTGATTCTTCTTTCATAACATGATTAATGTGGAAATATGTTTAATACAATTGCACATGTATAGTCTATCAGACTGCTTGTTGTCTCAGGGAGGGGTGAGGGGACAGAGGGAAGGAGAAAATTTGGAATTCGAATTCTTATGGAAGTGAATGTTGGAAAAATATGTGTGTATGTGTATACTTAAAAAAAGAAAACGAATTCTGCCTTTGATATTCCTGCCTGTGTCACCCTGGGCAAGTCACTTATCCTCTTAGTTCTGTAGGTGCCTCTTTAAGACTCTTAATGGCTAAGAAGGTGCCAACATGCACTGGCAGAAGGAGTTTTCTTCCTTAGGAGGACAGTTCCTACATCCTTATTCATTCCTATATCAATGAAATTAAGTTCCAGTCCTTATCCCAAGGCAAGTCATTTTACTTCCCTGGGCCTCAGTTTCCTCATCTGGACAATGAGAGTATTGGACTAGATGGCCACTGAGGTCCCTTCAAGTTCTACATCTATGAGCCTATGAACTTGTCAAGAAAGTGAATGGAGTGCTGGATTTAGAGTCATCTTGAAGATGTCCAGCATCAGGGATTTCACTGTTAATCTAGTACAGGCCATTCTACTTTGGGGCTATTCCAATTTCTTAGTTTTTTTTTTTCCTTATTCCAATCTGAAATCTACCTCTCTGCATCCTCAAATAACTGCTTTTAATTCTACCCACTAATGTCAAGAAAAATAAGTTTAATGTCCCCTCAACATGATGGCTTTTTCAATTGTTTAATGATAGTCATGAACTCCCCATTCCCAAGCTTTCACTTCCCTCATCAGAGTATCCATGATTCTGTCATCTTCAGCTCCTTCAACATATCCTCCCCCAGTATTTTTGCCTGGTTATGTTCTAGCTGGTCAAGGCCCTCCTTAAAAGATAGTGCCCTAACTGGAACTAGTTCTCTATATGTAGTCTGTTGAATGAAGAAGATACTAGGATCTGTCTTCCCTTGTCTCCTGTTCCTATTAATGGAGTCTAAGATCACTTCAGCTTTTTTGGCTGTGACCTCACATTGAGTTCAAAGTCAACCAAAACTCTCATATATTTTTTACATGCCCTATCGTCTATTCACACCTCCTCCACTCTGTATTCTTGCTATTGGCTTTCCAAACCAAAGTATAGAGCTTTCCTATTATTTCTGATAAATTCCTTTTTACTATATTGGGTGCATCATACCCTTTCTCACTTTACCTGTAGGGGAAGCACAGTTCTAGAAGTATGGCCAGAGGATAACCTGAATTTTCAGTCAGAGAGACAGACAGAGATGGAGACAGAGACAGAGGAGATAGAGAGTTCCAGTAGTGAAATTTCCCTTTAACTTTTTTTCAAAACTTGATAAAGCTCTGGTAATGCATTATTCACAAAATGCTAGAGATGGAAAGGACTTTAGAAAAAATATTGGTGGGAAGTACTGTAGAACTTAAGACAACAGAGAAAAATGGGATGATAGAACATAGAACCCAGAATGTCAGAGCAGAAATGGAATAGAATATTAAAGCTGGAAGTGGCTTTCAATTGAATTCAACAAGAAATGATTGTTCACTAAATATCAAGCAGTGAGTTTGGTCCTAGGAATATGCCTCCAAAGAGTTTACATTATACTGGGAGAAACAACTTGGTCCTACAGATGATCAAACAACCTACCCATTTTGTGGATGAGGAAAATGAGACCCTTTTTGGATGTGCCTTCAACTCTAAAATTCTATGAACTATATGTAATACAGGGTTTTGTAAATTGCAGAGTTCTATAAAACAGTGAGTTAAAAACTATGGAGTTAGATCATTCCATTGTTGACCTATTCTGATCCTTAAGAAGTTTACCCTTTTAATGAATCAAAATCAGCTCTTCTGTGACTTCTCCTCATTGCTCCTTATTTTGCTTTCCCAGGCCAAGTGGAGCAAACTCTAATCCCTCTTTCCCACATCAGTCCTTGTGATAATTCATGTCAGCCCTTCATGATTGCTGAAAGCAACAATCATGACCTTGTTTAAGTTATTTTATGCCTCTGTTTACTCATCTGTAAATGAGAGTTTGGACTAGATGACAGGTCCCTTTAAACTCTAAATCCTAGGATTCTCTTTCCCCTACTAAGCCTCTTCTTTTCCAGCTTAAAAATTCTTGACAAAATTGGAATTTAGAAATGCATCAGTGTAATCACCCTCAGATATCAGATAAGAAAACTGAGACTCCCCAAAAGGAAAACATATTATTCAAATCATATCTGGTTCCTAAAGTAGGAGATGATAAGGACCTTAGTGATGACCTAAGGCAAATATCTTACTTTACAGAAACTGAGACTCATGGGGCAGTTAGGTGGTGCAGTGGATAGAGCACCAGCCCTGAAGTCAGGAATACCTGAGTTCAAATCTGGTCTCAGACCAAACACTTGACACTAGTCGTGTAACCCT